CCGCCACCCTTGGTATATGGGGCTGGCACCCTACTCACTGAGCCACAGGCACTGCCCCATATACCTTTTCTTGATCTTGATTTACTTGTTTATTTCCTTTTCTTTATTCTTCTTTGTGATTGGATAGTATAACTGTACATAGTGTAACTCAGGGGAACCCTAATTCTGCCCTATGATTGTGGTTCTCAACTTCTTTACTCCTCTCCTGAGTGACTTTTCCAAGTCTATCTGAACAATTTTCTAGAGGTCACATTATAGCCAAAACAAAACATAGCTAAATTAAGTTAAAGATTATGATAAACTCAAGCAAAACAAACAGAGAAGGAATCTCTTATAAAACATTGTGTGATGACTGACTATAAAGTGACTGGAATTTTAACAGATGACCCTGCCTGTGTATATGCAGGGAGGTGTGAATTTCTACCACCATGGACTTAGTCCCCATTACATGTATAATAACTAATACCTTTAGTGAGGATAATTTGGAACTCTTCCTTTGGTATTCCTTTTTTTTTTTTGCTTTCATTTTATTTTTAATTGACACATAATAATTGTGTACATTAATGGGGGTATAGTGGGATATTTTGATACATGTATACAGTGAATAATGATTAAGTAAGGGCAATTAGCATTTTGATCACCTCAAACATCATTTCTTTGTGTTGGGAACATTCAAAATCTGCTGTTGTAGCTCTTTAAAAAAAGTTAGTAAGTTATTGTTAATTATATTCAACCTATAATACCAGAGAACACTAGAACTTTTCCCTCCTATCTAGCTGCATTTTTTTCTTTATTCTGTCTGCTGCAGACAATTGTAGTTTTGTATTCATTAACCAACTTCTCCCTATCCCCTCTTCTTGCTGTCCTTTTCAGCTTGTAGTAACCATTGTTCTAGCCTCTACTTCTGTTAGATGAACTTTTTTAGCTTCTACGTATGAGAGGGAACAGGTGATATTTATCTTTTCATGCCTGGCTTACTTCACTTAACATAATGGCCTCCAAGGTTCTCCAAGTTGCTGTAAATCATGAGATTTCATTCTTTTGCATGACTGTTTTATATATGTTGCATTTTCTTTATCAATCTGTTGATAGACACTTAGGTTGATACCATATCTAGGCTATTGTGAAGAGTGCTACAATAAAATGGTATTGTAGATATCTCTTCAATATGTGGATTTCCTTTCTTTTGGCTGTATACTCAGTAGTGGGACTGCTGTGTGATGTTTCTGTTTTTAGTAGTTTTTTGTTTGTTCATTTGTTTTTTTGAAATGAGGTCTCATTGTGCTGCCCAGGCTAGTCTCAAACTCCTAGGCTCAAGTGATTCTCCTACCCGAGCCTCCCGGGTAGCTAGGACTATAAGCACATGCTGTGCTCAGTTCAGTTTTTAGGTTTTTAAGGAACATCCATACTGTTTTCCATAATGGCTATACTAATTTACATTACCACCAACAATGTATAAAGAGTTTCCTTTTTTACATTCTTGCCACCATTTGTTACTTTTTGTCTTTTTGATAATAGCCCTTATAACTGGGTGAGATATTTCCTTTCTGATTTGCATTTCTCTAATGATCATGATGCTATTGGCCATTTGTATGTCTCATTTGGGTTTTTGTTTTGTTTTTTTGAGACAGGGTCTCATTTTGTCACCTGGGCTGGAGTGTGTTGGCATGATCGTGGCTCACTACAGCCTCCACTTGGGTGAAGTGATCCTCCTTCCTCAGCTTCCTGTGTGGCTAGAATTATAGATGTGCTCCATGCTCCATTGCACCTGGCTATGTTTTTTTGTTTTGTTTTTTAGTGATAGGGTCTTGCTGTGTTGCCCAGGCTGCTTTCCAACTCCTGGGCTCAAGTGGTCCTCCTGCCTTGACCTCTCAAAGTGCTGGGATTACTGACATGAATTACCATGCTTGGCCTGTGTATCTCCTTTTAAGTGATGTCTTATTCAGCTCATTTGCTCATTTAAAAATCAGATTAGTGGGTGTTTGGGTTTTTTCTCTGTTGTTTGAGTTCCTTGTATATTCTGGGGATTAATGTCGGATGAATGTTGATCTTTGTCAGATGACTGTTTTGCAAGTATTTTCTCCCATTCTGCTGCCTTTCTCTTCACTCTGTTGTTTTCCTTTCCTATGCAGAAGTTTTTTAGTTTGATATAATTTTGCTTATTTTTACTTTGATTGCCTGTGCTTTTGAGGTCTTCATAAAATCTTTGCCCAGAACAATGTCCTGAAGTATTTCCCCTTTTTTTGCAGTTTTGGCCAGGGCCAGGTTTGAACCCACCACCTCTGGGATTTGGGGCTTTAAGCCACAGGTGCCACCCTTGTTTTCTTTTTAGATATAAGTCTTTAATCCTTTTTGATATGATTTTTGCATATGGTGAGAGTTAGGGGCCTAATTTCATTCTTCCATACATGGATATCCTAGCACCATTTATTGAAGAGACTGTCCTTTTCTCAGTGAGTATTATTTGTGCCTTTGTCATCACTCATTTGTCTGTAAATAATGTGGGTTTATTTCTTGGTTCTCTGTTTTGTTGCATTGGTCTATGTGTTCATTTTTATGCCATTACCATGCTATTTTGGTTACTCTAGCTTTGTAGTAGTATGGTACCTCTCATTTTGAGGTCTGGTAGTGTGGTACCTATCATTTTGTTCATTTTGCTCTGGATTACTTTGGCTATTCACAGTTTTATGTGATACCATGTGAATTTCAGGATTACTTTTTCTGTGAAGAATTTCATTAGTATTTTGACATTGAATCTGTAGATCACTTGAGTAGTATGTTGATTTTTACAATATTCTTGTAATTTGTGAACATAGGGTTTCTTTGCATTTTTTTTGTGCCCCTTTCAATTTATCAGTGTTTTGTAATTTTCCTTGTAGAGGTCTTTCATTATCCTTAGCTATTTTATTCCCATTGTAGCTATTATAATTGGGATTGCTTTCTCGATTTCTTTTTCATCTACATTGTTCTTTGTGTCTAGAAATGGTACTGATTTTGGGGCTGGGTGTGGTGGCACACACTTGTAATCCTAGCACTCTGGGAGGCCAAAGTGGGTGGATTGCTTGAGCTCAGGAGTTCAAGAGCAGCCTAATCAAGTGAGACCCTGTCTCTCTTACAAACAAAAACTAACTGGGCATAGTGGCACACATCTGTAGTCCTAGCTACTTGGGAGGCTGAGGCAGGAGGATTGCTCAAGCCCAAGAGTTTGAGGTTGCTGTGAGCTATGATGCCATAGCACTCTACCCAGGGCAACAGAGTGAGACTCTGTCTCAAAAAAAAAATAGAATTGATACTGATTTTTGTATATTGATTTTGTATCCTGCATCTTCATTGAATGATTATCAGTTCTCAGAGATTTTTGGTGTAGATTTTAGAGTTTTCACATATATATGATGTCGTCTACATACAGGGACGATTAGACAGCTTCCTTTTCAATTTGGATGCCCTTTATTTCTTTCCCTTACCTGATTCCCCTGGCTGGGACTTCAGTACTACATTTAGTAAAAAGGGTGAAAGTGGGCATCATTGTCTGGTTCTAGATGTTAGAAAGCTTTCAGCTCTTTGTTGTTTAGTATGTTAGCTGTGGGCTTGTTATTTCCGGCCTTTATTAATATTGAAGTACATTCCTTCTATTTACAATTTGTTGAGCATTTTTATCATGAAAGGATATTGAATATTATCAAATGTATTTTATGCATCTATGCAGTGTTTTTCAACCTTTTTTATCCCATAGCACACTTGAACCTATAGTTAAATTTCTGCAGCACACTTAAATTATGTTGATCAAAAAAAGAGTTAAAAAAAAAAGAATATATTTACTGTGCTTTGAACTTCTTTCAAAAATAGTTTAATTAATGATCTTAAAAATTTTTCAAAGCACACTTAAGATCCTCTCATGGCACACCAGTTGAAAATCACTGATCTATGGAGATTATCATGGTTTTTACCTTTCATTCTATTGATGTGATATATCATATTTATTGTTTTGTATATTTTGAACCATCCTCGTATCCCTGGAATGA